TTCCAGTTGTGTGCAGTTCCAGATGTGTGTCCAGTTCCAGTTGTGTGCAGTTCCAGATGTGGGTCCCTTTGGAGTTACATCACTTGTTTTCCATCAGCTCTCAGTTTTCTGTTCCCTTCTTCCAAAACCCAGCAGTCGCCCCAGGGTTTCAGAACTGTTGCTTTGAAAACCAGTATCCCATTTCTTCCTTCCCCACAGGTGGCCTCAGCCTTGTCCCTGTGGTCTGGATATGCTCAGCCTATCATTTCCACAGCAGCTGTTCAAGTGGAGTCTCCTTGCCCTCCTGAGGCTGGGGCATGGGGGGAGGGGAGAGGCTCTCCACCACCCAGCCAGTGACTAAGGAGTGTGCTTTGCCATGGTCCTTCAGAAACAGGCATGCCCAGGAGGGAGCTGTCGGTGCTCATGGAGACAGCCATGGCAGATGTGAAACAGCTCTAGGCAGGCAGCCTGTCCTCACCTAGTCTCCAGTCCAGCAGCTTCTTCTGGAAGAAGAAGGACAGGTGCTCACCCTGTGCCCAAGTCAGCTTGCCTGGGCACCATGTGACTTCAAGTTTGAGCTCCGGAGAAGCCCTCCAGCCAGTTTGTCAGCTGTCCAGGCCCCTCAGTGTCTGGTTTCCTTGCCCTGCATGATTTCAGCATTAGTGCTAAATCCATCTGTCATTTCTCTCCCTCTGGAGACCACACTGTCCAGACTCTTGAAGCTGAGCCGGGCAAAGGAATGTTACATAACCAAGCAGGGACCCTTCCGCCTCCGCTCATGCCTGACCGTCAGGCGGTGGTCACTAGTCCAAGAGCCACAGCTGCCAGCGCCCTGCAGAGAAGGGGACCCCACCCCGCTGTGTTCTGAGTTTCATACAAACAGGGGAATCACAACATCTGTTTTATACTAGGCGTTACTTCATTCCACCGCAGTCGCTCTGGGGTGGGGTCCTTCTGGGCAGCCATCGTACTCCACAGTGGCCCTCCCTCAAGCTGCACTTGGTGCAGGACCCGGTGGACACAGGCATTTCCAAAGAAGCCTGTCTCACCAAGGCAACTTGCCTCCACAGCTTTCCATAGTTCTCCCCAGGAGCGGCTGACAGTGGCTTTTTACACACACACCCCCTCCCTCCCCCCCTCTCCTGTCTCCCTGACTCCTGTGGAAAGAACAGTGACAGATGCCCAGATTAGGGGAGGAAAGGCTCAAGGTAGCCATGGTGCTCCCAGCACAGCCTCTGCCTGCTGCCCTCAGGGACCAATGCAGTCTAGAGAATCAAGATGCGGCCCCTGGGTGGGCTGCCAGGGCATCCTATAGAGCAGGGGTTCTCAACTTGTGGGTCATGACCCCTTTGGGGGCATCAAGAGACCATCTCATAAGGGTTGCCTAAGACCATCTGCGTATTAGATATTTATACTATGATTCATAACTGTAGCAAATTTAGTTATGAAGCAGCAATGAAAATAATTTTATGACCACATGAGGAGCTGTAT